ACTTGGTACAAGACATTTTAAGAAAAAAATGGTGGGTTGAACCTGGTTTTGCGGCTAGCCAAACCTCCCGCTTTTATGGCAATGTTAAATATAACATTAAAATGACAACATTACATGACAGGACTACAAAACAGATAAATGGGAGAACATATAGGACAGAGAAACATACGAATAATAGCTAACAAAAGGTACCAGGTTTAAAATTTAATACGCAAGGCGCGCGTTTCGTCCACACAAGACTAAACAGTGACGCTCAGATCAAAAAAGTACGAAAGCCAAAACAAGTACAAAGTTGAAGAGCATTGAGAACCAAAAGTTCCAAAAAGTTGTGCCAAATACGGCTAAGGTTATATGTCTGGGATAAGAAAATCCTTAGTATTTAGAATAATTCATACTTTTGCAAACAGTAAATTTATAAAAATGACTATATAATAGATATACATGATAACACCGAAGTAGTGACTAATTACAGAATAAAAACGGATACATAAAACAACATAAACCAGCACATAAAAATTCACAGCCGAGTTAGCCAAAGATATCAACGCAAAAAAAAGGTGACGTCACATTTGAATTTCTGAAATTTCCCCAAAATAGGATAGGAAAGACATTGATAGAGGTTTCTCTCGTGCTGACAACATCAGCAGAGATAAACTTTTACAATATAAGGTCAACAAAAGAGTGCCGTTCGTGCTGACTTACCATCCCAAATTTGACAAGTTATCATTATCAACGAAAATTGGAAAGTAATCAAAAAACATCCTAAACAATCCAAGATCTTCTCCGAGCCACCCGTATTGGCTTTCCGTACGCCCAAAAGCCTAAAAGACTAGCTGGTGAGAGCTGCTTTATCCTCTAAATCAGGCTCTTCGTCAGTGGGTTCTTGCAAGGGGTGTGGAAACGAACGATGTCTGACTTGCAAGCAAATACTGAATACCCAGACTTTTAACAGTCACTCCACTGGTACAGAATACACCATATTTTGCAATATTAATTGCAAGACTACAAACGCTGTGTATCTTCTACAGTTTAAACGTTGTAAACAGTATGTTGGTGACTCAGAACAGTCATTTCACAAACGTATGAACGGCCATCGTAGTGACTATGAATGCAAGCCAGACCTTCCTCTCAGTCGACATTTGAGATCCCCTGGACACACCAAGGCAGATCTCAATCGACTGACTATTACCATCATAGACCACAACACTGCTTGGTCTAGGGAGAAGAGACTCACTCGGGAAAGATTTTGGATAAGAAAATTAAAAACGTTGGCACCGAATGGGATCAATGAAAAGGTGTAGTTCTAATCGCGCAGTGCTATTCATTTGGATTGTTTAATTACGCAGTCTCTGTTGTAATTCCTTTACCTTCGTCAACTCTGAAATTCTAGAATTATACCAGTTTGAATCGCACGGTGCTATTCACTTGAGATCTATAAATACACAGCCTCTGTGTAATTACTATACTTTCGTCAAAATTTGTAATAAAAAAAAATTATACCAGTGCAAATCGAACAGTGCTATTCATTTGGAATGTATGAATACGCAAACTTCTGCAAAATACTTAACAATCGTCAAATTTGAAATTTTAGTATTATACCAGTTCATTTCGGTCAGTGCTATTTATTGGGAATGAATTTCTACGCAGTCTTTGATGTAATAACTTAACTTTCGTCACGTACCTGTGAAATTGTAGAATTGTACGTGTTCATATATCGCACATTACTATTCTTTTTATAGTCATATATATCTATGCAGTCTCTGTTGTAAATACTTAACATACGTCATTTTTGAAAATTTAGAATTATACAAGCATTGTTCAGTTTTTAATTGTATAACGATAAAGGTTGTTTTAGTTAGATCTGAATAGATTGATATGTTTCATTTTACATCATTATAATCATACTAATGAAGGATATCTGTTATCCGAATATTTATAGATACTTACATTTATTGTTTCCTTTTTTTTAATATTGGTGTTGTTTTGTGCACTTTTTCAGGTGTATATATATATATAGATAAGGAGATGTGGTATGATTGCCAATGAGACAACTATCCGCAATAGTTCAAATGACGAAAATAGAAATAAATATAGGTCACCATACGGCCTTCAACAATAAGAAAAACCCATACCTTATAGTCAGCTATAAAAGACCCCAACATGAAAAATGTGAAACAATTCAAACGAGGAAACTAACGGCCTTATTTATTCAATACAATGTACAAAAAAAACAAATATGACAGTCATATATACCAACGACAACCACTGAATTACAGACTCCTGACTTGGGACATGCAAAAGAATGTGGCGAGGTTTAACATGTTTGTATGCGCTCAACCCTCCTCCTAAATTTGGACAGTGGTGTTACAGCACACCATAAGAACAAACTGTAAAAATCAGTTTCAAATGGCTTAACTCAATAGATCGGTACGAAGCTCGAACAAACCATCTAACATTAAAACAATAGACACAAAGTACCAATATAAGAGTATTCGCAACGAACTTCTTCCCTTCAACAGTGAAATTATGGAATAAGATACCTTTCAATATTAGACAATGCGACTCTCTTCTCTATTCAAAAGCCCTATTTGTAAACAAAATAAGAAGGTTCCCATATATTATTATGTTGGAAACCGCAATGGACAAATTTTCAATGCACGCTTGCGAATGAACTCTAGCGCTTTAAACTCTCATTTCTTTTTACGTAATTTAGTTGATTCGCCGAATTGTGGTTGTGGTTCTATAGAAACAATCTCTATTTTTTTTTATTAACGTGTCCATATACATGTAAAACTAACATACGCAAAGTGTAAATTTTGTTTTTGGTGGATTTTCCGCAGCGTTTTGATGTTACTATTTTGCTTTTTGGTTCAGATTTTTTAACTGATGAAGAAAATAGTACTCTTTTTGTTTTGGTACAGAAATATATATTGAAAAGTAAAAGGTTCACACCATGATATGAAAGCTTATTTATATGTTTTACTTGCATTTCATTTAGTTCATTTCATTCACTTGGGGTTTTTTTTCTCCTTTTTTTTTCTCTCTCTCAAATTACAATATAATCAATCTAATTTTGTATTTACTATTCTTTCTTTATTCAAATTGACAGAGCATGCTCCAAGTATTTATTATGTTGTGTGCTATCATTTATGTTGGAGACAGATTAAGATAAGCAATGTTGCTTGTTTCTGAATCCAATTGTTTATAGTGTATTATCTTATATTATCATGATTTGATTTATTGAATACATAATGTTTAAACCAAGAGTACTTGCAGTTACTGAAAGTAATTTCAAAACCAATTATAACTTATAAATAAATCATGTTTTCCCAGACTAATGCATCAAGTGCATCAAGCAATACAATGTTGGATTGAGAAGTACGTACATTTTGTGTGTTTAGCGGGTATGTATATTTTTTTAACAGCAATACATCCTAAATGTTTCATTTAATATTTGTCTAGAAATGGAAAACAAGAAAAATGTTCAAATGTTACTACTTTGATGAGGAGTATGATCAAGCGTATGTTATACATGGTCACACAGAAACAAATCCCCATGATAGCTTCCTTTCAATCAGATAGTATAGTGCCTCAAAGAATTGAAAATACGGATTTCTATCTAGACATTACAATTAACAATGTATATCAACGGAACTCTGCGAAAGACATGAATCAAATACACGAGGTGTACGTTATTATATATAAAAAAAATGTCCTATCATTATTTCAAAATGATCATATTAAAGCTTATTGATGATTTATTTCATTGTTTATTATATATTCCATTTAATTTAAATGTTATTGTCAATGAGAAATAGTACAGGTTCGGATTAAGATTTTGTGTTTTTTTGTTATTGTATTTTTTAGGGGGCTGGCCCCAGGCCTCTCTTAGAAGAATATTTGTGTTTATATTGCATTTTACTGATGTATTACTGCTGTCCCTTAGTTTTGTTACTCCTATTTTAAAACTCCAGGGTTCGCCACTGTATTGTATATAAATCATAAAATATTATTTACTGTAAAAACAAAATGTAGCATGAAATAATATTGAAAAGATTATGAGTCACCTGTTCTCGGTTCTAAAGACATTTTTACAAAGAATCCAATAATATATCTTAGAACTGAAAGGATATGGTAAAATGTTTTCAGAACAGAAAGTTATCATTAAATTGAAAAGGTTTAATTTGATCAACATAGTAATATGTGTTTGTGACTTATTAGGAATAAATTATATTGTCCTTGATTGTTACAAACTGGAAAAAGTCAGTTTTAAGCCGAAGAACGCCTTCTCTCTTATTCACATTTAAAAAAAAAAAAAAACAATTGTTACAAAACCCGGACGTTTGAAATTTTGCTCTCGAAAAAACACGGACAATGTAAAACACTAATTGCAAGTGAACTACAAGGAAATTGTGCGTCGTTTGTGCTCAAAACATGTATAGTATTCAGAATAAGATGTCTTTTGAACAGTCATGAATAAAACTATTATACTCACGAAATAACAGTAAGTTGATCTGATTGCATTGTAATATCCCTCGAAAAAACCTGATCTTCACTTGAAAAAAGTGGACCGATTCACTCGAAAAAAACACGATCTCAGCAGGACACTATACCTACTGTGACCACGGTCCATCTGATACACGTATAACTTCTTTATCTTTATCAAACTTCATTTTTTAAAGATTTGTAGAAGCCCAGATTATGAGAAAAGCTTTATGCTACATGTAATAAAAATATTGATTTTTAAAAGCGATTTATATAAACCTATAATTGTTTACATATATTACCCTTTTAAAAAAAATCCTTTTTACACTTGAGAGAAGTGAAGAGATATAAATGAACTTATAAATGGATTAACTTGGGTATTTTGTACACACGATATATCCTTTCCGTTAATGAATGATATCCAAGTTTATAAGACAAGTACATTTTTAAGAGAGGGCGGAAACCGGCAATACGATGCTCTCTTGTGATTTCTACGTAAATTACACTTCCTCATCAACAAAATGGCCGTTAGATAAGTCAACTACACATGTATACGAATATGTTGCTGGTTCTTTGCGCTTTGTTTTGTTGTATTACTAAATGTTTCGGTAAGTAAAAATATCTACCACGTGTGTTTTTCGTCGTATGCCTTTTATTCTGAATAGTTAAAGAAAAAGATGTATATTTTATCAGTCTTAGTGGATATTGACATAAACTCAAAAAGTTTGTGAAAATCTTAGCACCAAATTTTATATAACGTATTTATAAATACATGTATATGTATATACACATGACAACAGTTAATCCGGATGTACATGAATTGAAATACTTTTAATCGGACAAAACAAACACAAGTGGTGATCAAGTTAACACAACGTAGATTGACAATGTTAAAATTATAATGGAAAACGAAGTTTTTATTGTTGTATTTACTGAACAAAATAAAGCCATTATATTTGCAATGAATTTCAAACTGGCTTCTACTTGGGTATCCATTGCCTTAGAAGTTCTGGTAAATTTCACAATAGTCAAACCGGTATTAAAAAAAAAAAATAGTAACTTTAGTAAACAAATTTTATTTCATCTCAGCTTCTAGTAAGTGTTCTACGACTATAATCTTTCGGAACTGTTAACTAGATCCCTTACTTCTATTAAAGAACTATAGTTATTAATTTTTGTAATAAAGCATATGAAATAATGGAATTAACTATTTTTGGAGTTTCAATACTCTTTGGATGTTTTGGATAAATTACGTGCTCTTGGTGGTTCGTTCAATTGAGTTGACAGTTGAGATTTTTCGACTCTGTAGACTAACTCACAATGTTCGCTTATTTTTTTGAATGGTACTTTGAAAAATCTGGTTGCAGATTTATTTGCTGAAACTCATATAAAGCCCTTTTCTGTAATGAAAAAGGGAAATATGCTAGATATACTTACTGGAACTGTGATGAGCTGATCAAAGCTTTAAATTTTCTTTTTGAAAACATTTATGTACGTTTCGGCAATGAAGTTTATTGACAGGGTGTAGGTATTCCTATGTGCACCAATTGCGCCCCTTTAATAGCAGACTTGTTCCTGTATTGTTATGAATAACAGTTTATGGCTAAACTCAGTAAATATCCGTCTAAATTAAATTTTATTGATAAATTTAAAAACACTTACCATTACCTTGATGATATTTTTGCTTTAAATAATCAAAAAAATTCGAATTTTACTGCAGAAATTTACCCAAAGGAAATTACTTTAAATAAATCTAATACCAACAGCAATAATTGTCCTTTTCTAGATTTGGATATTTCAGTTTCAACTGGTGAATTATTAAGACAGGGATTTCGTCACCACAGACTAATAAAATACTTTTACCGAATTATTTCATAGATATAAATAATTGGTTAGGAAGTTTGGCTGTTTTTATCAAAAACGGGATATAACATTCTTATTTTTACGGTGATGTTGTTTATAAGGCCCGTAATATTAGATACGATCCATGTAAAATAATTCATCTTTTGAACAAACTTATTCTTAAAGGTTATCAATTTAACACAGTAGTAAAATATTTAAATATTATTTTTATTGGTACTAACATTGATTTTGTATTTGAAAAATTAAAACACAACTAAATATATATTGCTATATATGTACAGTTATGAGAACTCATTATCCTATATCTTATCGATATTGTTTACTTATATTTTGGCATTGCACAAGGTCATGCGTTTCTCAGACTATTTATGACGTCTTTACACTAAATCCGTCGGATTTGTACTGATAGATACTTTAGTCTGGGAGAACACGATTTATTTATTAGTTGCAATTGGCTCTGAACAAGCTTTTAGTAACTGCGAGTACTCTTATTTCGGTGCTTTGTTTCTATTGTTTTTAGGTTATAAAAATAAGGAGATGAGGTATGATTGCAAATAAGACAACTATCCACCAAAGTTCAAATAAAGTGGATGTAAGCAATTATAGGCAATCGTACGGCCTTCAACAATGAGAAAGACCCATACCGTATAGTCGGCTATAAAAGGCCCCGACATGAAAAATATGAAACAATTCAATTGAGAAAACTAACGGCCTAATTTATAACAAAACAGTTAACGAAAAACAAATATGACAGACATGAACCAAAGACAACCACTGAACTACAGGCTCCTGACTTGGGACAGGCACTTAAAGATTGTGGCGGGGTTAAACCTGTTTGTGAGCGCTCAACCCTCCCCCTAACCTGGGACAGTGGTGTAACAGCACAACATAAAAACAAACTATAAAGATCAGTTGAAAAAAAGGCTTTTTTTTCTGTAACGAAAAAGGAAAGTATGCTAGATACACTTACTGGAAATGTGAATATATGATTGAAGCTTTAAATTTTCTCCTGGACAACATATATGTACGTTTCGGCGATAAAGTGTATCGACAAGTAGTAGGTATTCCTATGGGCACTAACTGCGCCCCTTTAATAGCAGATTTAATCCTGTATTGCTATGAATCTCAGTTTATGACCAAACTCAGTAAAGACACGTCATTGTAACATTTGGTTGATACATTCAACAACACCTTCCGTTGTCTAGATGATATATTTTCGTTAAACAATCCAGAGTTCTCTAAATATACTACCGAAATTTACCCAATAGAACTTACTTTAACTAAATCTAACATAAACAGCAGTAGTTGTCCTTTTCTGGATTTGGACATTTCAATCTCTAAAGGAAAACTCCATACCAAAACTTACGAAAAAAGAGACGATTTTTCATTCCCTATTGTTAATTTTCCTTTTTTAGACGGCGATGTTCCTTTGGCTCCATCATACGGTGTTAATGTATCCCAACTCGTTTGTTATGCCCGTGTGTGTAGTGATGTCATAGATTTTAACGAACGTAATCAATGCATCACTGGTAAATTATTAAATCAGGGATTTCGTTACCATAAATTACGTAAAACTTTTGCTAAGTTCTTTCATAGATACAAAGATTTGATTAGTAAATTTGGCTGTTCTTGTAGAAAACTGATTAAAAACGGTATTTCACATCCTAAATTTTACGGTAATATTGTACTTAAAGCGCGGAAATCACTATGTGATCCGTGTAAACTCATCGAACCTTTAAACAAACTTATAAGTAAAGGTTATCTTACCAATGTTGTAATTAGATCTTTGAATATAGTTTACATTGGCACTAATATCGATTTTGTCATCAGCAAATTAAAACATAACTAAATTTGTATTCTTTTCAAACGGGATGTATAAAGACACACCCACGTTCGTTTTGGTCTATAAAGAGGTTAAACTCCTAACTATCCTACTGTCTGTCGATACATTTATTTTTGGCATTGCACTAGTCATGTCTTCTTTGACTGTCCATGACGTTAAAATACTAAATCCCTGGGATGTGTTTTAGTTGATTTTAGTCTCTGATGCATGATTTTTTATTATTAATTGTTTGGCTTTTAACTAGCTGTCAGTAACTGCGAGTACTCTCAAATCGTACTTTCTTGTTTATTTGACCTGTTGATACTAATTGTATTGCTTTTTTTTATATAGATTAGACCGTTGGTTTTCCCGTTTGAATGGTTTTACACTAGTAATTTTGGGGGCCCTTTATAGCTTACTGTTCGGTGTGAGCCAAGGCTCCGTGTTGAAGACCGTACTGTGACCTATAATGGTTTACTTTTATCAATTTTGACTTCGATGGAGAGTTGTCTCATTGGCACTCATACCACATCTTCTTATATCTATTAACTCATCAGATCGATACAAAGCAGAAAAACATCAAACATAAACACAGACCGAAGTTGTTTTTGTGACTGGTACTGATCTTTTGAGTTAAGCCAATTGCTACTGATTTTTACAGTTTGTTATTTTTCTGAACTTTTATACCACTGTACAGGGTTAGTGGAGGGTTGAGCGCTCACAAACAGGTTTAACCCGCCACATTCTTTATGTGCCTGTCACAAGTCAGGAGCCTGTAGTTCAGCGGTTGTCGTTAGTTCATGTCTGTCATATTTGTATTTCGTAAATTGTTGTTTTTCAATTTGGCCGTTGGTTTTCTCGTTTGAATTGTTTCATATTTTTCATGTCGGGGCCTTTTATAGCCGACTATACGTTATAGGTTTTCCTAATTGTTGAAGGCCGTACGGTTGCCTTTAATTGCTTATATCCACTTCATTTGAACTCTGGTGAAGAGTTGTCTAATTGGCAATCATACCACATCTCCTCGTTTTTATAAAGCTTGTTTTCCCTTGAGAATTTTAACTGTCTTTAATGCATTAGGTAAGTTTGACTTGCATGGTATATTTCAAGTATTTTCTATAAAAAAAAAATTATATTGTGGCAATTTTTCAAGTACTACGAATTTCCTATTTCCATCTCAAGCTTTTTCCATTTACAAGTATAACATTATGTCACATTTAGATGACGGTACATTGGCACTTGCACGTCGTACAGTTTATATTAACAGTGGATATGGAACGCCAGAGCTGTCTTATGTGGAACTCTGATATTACATTATGTTGTTTTATTATAATTACTTGATGATACTTTGTCTTTACATAATATTAGTTACATAGTGTGCTAGTGACCTAATACGGTATATATGGGGTCAGTAAATTCCATATGGGGTGAGAGCGAAGCTCGAATCCCTATTTGGAATTTAATGACCCCATATATACCGTATTACGTCACTAGCACACTATGTAACGAATTTATCTTACCGACTATCTTAACGTGTGATATTTAGACTTGTGACCTATCAAAATGAGCAAGTCTTCAATACCGTTAGCATTAAGAAACTACTTCCATTGATCATAAAAAAACAGATGCCAACAATAACAACTTGTTAGCTTTAAATGTGTTTTATGAATTTAATTCAATCTTCATCATCAATTTCTTCGTCTGTTGAAACCTTTAAGATTTTTTCTCAGTACCGTTTTGTTTTTATAAAGGGACGTAACACCACTACTAACCGTGTATTGAAATAAGCCCCGCCTCCCTACTAACCTAATATGGAATATACACGGTCTCCACGCGGACGCTCTCAACCAATCATATTCCTAGAAATGTAAAGGAGGTAAGATAATATTATATATGGTTTCGTATTGACTTGATATAGTTTTG